TTTCAGGTCAGTTTTGGATCACCTCTTAGCTAATAGTTTCTTCTACATACTGTGATGCTTACTCTAAGATTCTGTATCAGATCTTACTGAATCTTGATAGATACTTGTTCTTAAAATAGATAAGGCCCATATAGCCACCTGTTAGGGATGAATATCGGGTTAGAAGCAGATCTGGTAACCCCTGATTGACTGAAACATTGTGTGGAGAGTAGGAAAAGTATGGTCATATTAACTATTTGAGGTTTTTCTTTTGAGGGAGAAAAGGGAAAATGAGAAAAGTTTTCAACGAGTAGCAGATCCAAAGCCATTCTCAGTCCCAGGTATAACCAGTGTTACACAAACTAGTGAATTAATGAGTTTCATCTTTCAGTTTTTCCTGTTTTAAGAAAAACCTGTCCTTAAAGTTTTATACTTAAAAAAACTTAGAATCATCTTAAGACAGCTTACGCGTACCTCTTTTAGATAAAAGTACCAGGGCATCTTAGTACCTGTAAAGTTCACCCTATGTAATATTTGTGGCAATAAGGAAGCCTTCATGAGCCCTCTGTAAGCCAACCCTAGTTGTGAGCACTTAATATAAACGTTGGTCAGCTCAAAGTAAAGGCTTAGAGCTGAGGAAACTGGAACTTAGAGAGTTGGGAAACTTGCCCAGGTTATCCTGCTCTTGTCAGAGTTGGAATCCTAGCTCAGTTTTCTCTTTGCTTAGCAGTTGTGCTCTGAGAATTGAGAATGAGAAAAAGAAGCAAAAGCCTGATGATTATATATACATTTCATAGCTGTCTTTCTTTGCATTTTGCCAAACTGAGCGACCCGACTCCTCAGCATGAGCCAGAAGACATAACCAAAAACCTATAGGTTCTTTTGTACAGATGAGCAAAGTTTATATTAATCACAAATCTTAATTCTCTAGTCTTGTTTTCTGTTGCTGCTGTGATGAATTACTACAAGCGTAGTGGCTTAAAACTGCACAAATTTATGATCTTACGGTTCTGTGGATCAGAAGTTTATGCAGATCTCACTAGTTAAGATCAGCAGGATGCATTCGTTTTCTGGAGGGTTTCAGGGAGATTCCTTTTTTTCCCCGTTGGTTTCTAGCTTCTAGAGGGGCACCCAATTTTCCTTGGCTCATATCCATTCCATATTTAAAGCCAGCAGTGTGGAACCCAGTCTTTTTCTACCATCTCTGACTTTCCCTTCTGATTCCCTCTTCCACTAAAAGGACCTTTGTGATTACATTGACCCCCACCCAGATAATCCAGGGTAATCTTCCTATTTTAAGGTCAGTTGATTAGCAACCTAAATTCTGTGACCTTAATTCCCCATTGCAATGTAACCTATTTACAGGTGTTCCAAGGTTTGGGATGTAGACATATTTCGGGGGCGGGGGCATCATCTACCACAGCCCTTGACTCTCTAATTGTAGCTTATCTTGTGGGTGAATCTTAAATCTTTAAAATTATAGAATAGCTAAATCTATAGTAAATATATGTTAAAAATTTAGGAACAATTAACACCAGCAATAGAGAGGAAAATGAAAAGTTACGCCGTATTAACGTGTTTGTGTTAACGTAAAACTACTCATTAACAGGTAACTTTGTTGTTCCTAAGTTTTTAATAGTAACTGTTTTTAAAGTATATGAAGCAAACTTAAATGCATTATGAGAGCTTGATAATGAACCAGATCTTAGTAAAAGATACTTTAACATTTGGATATACTAGTTGTACTATGCTCATCTTCTAAGATCCCTCTAAAACTGGTAAGGCTACTTACTCACTGAAGATTACAAAGAACTATAATGTAGTCACTAATGACTACAAAGAACTATATACATAATCAGGTTTGATTTCTGTCTCTTAAAGCAAATTGCAAATAGAAATGGTTATTGCTTTTAAAAAAGGTGCAGAACACCCTGATTCTTTGATTTCTGTTTTACAAAGAATTATAGTAATTATTATATAGAGCAAGAAGGTGGTGAGTTGAAAACAAAGATCAGTAGCTGGAAGTGCTTTGAAAACTTCAGTCCATCCTGGCAAGTTTAATCTTACAGATAGACATAGAGCAGTCATTAAGGCAAATAACAGCCTAAGCGCTTAAAGGGCATTGTGAATCCAATATAAATCCAAATATCCCCAAAATACTTTTTCTATGAAATAAATCAGTGTATGCGTGCGTGTGTGTGTGCATGTATGTATGTATGTATGTATATTAGCCCAAGCTGTCTTTTAAAAATATGCCTTTAGATTTTTTTTTCCAAAATAATGATTTTTTTCAGGAACTTATTTAAAAGGAGACTGAAAACTATTACTACACTTTTTTAAAAAAAAGTTCTGTGTACATTCAACAGTTTAAGAAACCTCATGACATTTATGGTAAAACCATCTTAAAGGTCCTTTTGTAGCAGTTATTTTTATTTCATACTGGAAAAGCATTTCACATAGGAAATCGTCAACACCATCATCACCAGGATAGCAACGACAGGAAGCAGAAATAATGTTAATTTGTTACATGAAATTTGCAGGATTTTAAGGTGAAAAATATATTTTCAAGTTATTTTGATTTATAGGAGGATAGGCAGCAGTTTTCAGTTCTTAAATATTGTGTGCTTATTTTGCAAACACAGTTAATCTGCATTTGGAATTCAATGATGAGCAACATGGGAGAGTCCAGTTTTGTGGAGCTTCAAGGTAGAAGACAAGTTTTAAAATCTGAACATAAAATTGCAACTGTGAAAAGAAGCTTTAAGGCAGCAATTCCCAAAACTTGGTTTCAAGACCCCTTACACTTTTAAATAATGCCAAAGCTTTTGTTTATATGGGTTATATAATTATTTAGCAAACTAGAAATTAAAATGATAAACGTTAAACATTTTAAATAATATCATTGGTTAATATAACATTTATGTAAAAGTTAACTTCCAAACTAATTTAGTAAGAAGAGTATCACATTGTTTTCATTTTTGCGTATTTCCAATTTCTGACTCAGGGCTGGATTCTCTTACCTGCTCTGCATTCAGTGTTTTGTAATATGTCATTTTATTTGAAATATATGAAGAAAATCTGGCTATATGTGCATTTGTTGTTGGGAAAGGGAGGATCTTTGGATTCCTTGAAAATATCCCGGGGGTTCTTGGGCCACACTTCAGGAAGTGCTACTTTAAAGAAAAGGCACACTTTATTATGAGAGAACACGTGGCCTAATATGGGAACATTTTTTCAAAGATTTTGTAACCTTTCATAAAGCGGCTTTCTTGTTTTATACATAAAGTGTGTTTTCTGAAAAGTTCGATTTGATTACCAGCTGCCGAAAGGAATTTCTTTAGAGCATTTATCTTTATCATCTAAGTATCTCCAAAGTTAAATGCAATAGTATGGACCAATACAAGTTTAGGTCACCGTTTTTCAGCAAAATTTGTTGGAGTTGTCTTGAATCGTTTCTATTAAAAAAACAAACCATTGAATCAATGCGTAAACATTCTGCAATTCTACCTTATATTCTACCCTCACACTTCTAGTGTCAATAGGGACAGTAGGTTTGGAAGCAATTTGTGCCCTGTCAAATGGTGCCAACATTCTTAACTTGTGGTCCTAGGTCCTTTGAGGAATGTCTGTAGCCTTTTGGTTGGAATGGAGTGGCTAAAATAAGACAAAAATCTGTAATATTTTTTGAATGATAAATTACCTAGTTCCTTTGTATAGATTGGAATCTGCACAGGTATTAAGTTAACTATGTATTAGCGCTTTTTTTTTGTAAATTATTTAATTGATGAATAATCATATTTTTTTCTTTTTAACGCTACATGCTGCTTATTACTAAGATATTTTTTCTCTAGATGACCTGTTCTACCTGGTAATTCACCAAGTCATATGTTGCCAGTTGCCAGGTGACAAAATTGTCACAGATACCAAACTCAGAAAATGTTAGGTAACAACAGCAATAACTGCTTTCCAATCTGCAATGGTGGACTGGCAGTGGGAAGTGAAAATTCCACTCACAATTATATCAATAACTGATTTGGGCAAAATAATACTTTTTAAACTTATGCTTTTAACAGTACTAAATTGTTAGGACAGTAATTTTCAGTGGCATTGTTTAGAGCCTATTTTATGCCCAATATTGAGATCTATAGACTTGAAAGCAGTTAAATACAAATTAAGGTTAATTTTTTAATTTGATCAGTTAATATGAGTACATGGTTTTAAAAAGTCAAACAGCTCTACAAGGTTTATAAACAGCAGCAGGCCTCTGCACTACTCTTCTCTCCACAGGCAACCATTTTCAATTCTTTTAGACATTTAGGGTATTCGCCTTCATGTTTGTGATATGCATAAACTATTTTTTAAAGTTGCACATACTGTAATATCTATTGATGTCTTACTATAAAAGATAAGGATTTAGCTCTTACCAGCCTGTTCACCTCTTTTTCTTTTCTACATTCATGCAATACTTTTGATTTATATCTATTTTCAAGTTTTACATCATTGAATCATATAAATAGTTGTAGCTAAGCCATGTAATATGGTTACATTGCTTTGTATAATTTTTATTTTTCCTTTGGTTAATAACTTGATTTTTTTCTTATTTGTACCTATCCCTAATTCATTCCCAACTGAATTTTAAACATTTTAAAATTCAGTTTACACAATGATTTTAAAATTCTATCTACATATTGATTTTAAAATTTAAACATGAGGGACAGGTACAAAGTGGATAAGCAAAATGAATAAGCACATTCCATGAGTAAGCTCTAAACGAATTACTGGAGTTAAAACATGAATCAAAATATATACACATAAATTAGATTGTAGGAAAAACACACAGATGGTAGGAAAAACAATGAACTTTCAGTGACATTTTCCAGTGTTAACAAAAAGATATGTTAGCATTTAGACTATTTCAGGTAATAGTAAACAGTTGATTCCCTGTGGGCAATGTACCAAAGAAATAACTATCAATATAACTACATTTATATATAGTGTGTACTAAAATCTCTGGTGTTAACTTATGTAACCTCATTTTGTTCATCTCCATCATAAACGTTGTATCCTTCTGATTTAATTAGTTCAATTTTTTTTGGATCCTGAAAAAACACAACATCTTTAATTTTGCCAACAAAATTGGTTTTAAAAATCTCTTGAGTAATGATATTTACCTTTCGACCATATTCAAAGCCCCCTAGATAACAAATACCATCATAGTTTAGAGCAACAAATTTTTTATGTGGATCAATATCTTCGGAAAGAATTAGACTGTTATTTAGGTAGGCCTTGATAAGAGTCTGATTTTGAATTACAACTACATGGTGCCATTTGTTACAACAGAATGTGTCATTGTTATAGCTCATAGGCACAGATATTCTTTCTCCTAAGTTAACTGCTATTTTCAAGGTCTGATTATGGAGACCAATTGCCAGAAAATCATTTTCTTCATTTTGAGCTATTCCCATCCATACAATGAGACCTTCTGTTTTGGTAGTACTGAAATTTAAGGATATAGTAGTGAACTGGAGGTTTCTCATTCTATAATTTGGATCAATATATTTAATGTAAGAATTACCCATAAATTTTGCAGTTGAAAATGAAGTTTTGTTTTCACAATACCTTCCCACCCAACCCAAAGTACATAGGCAACTGTAAGAAAATGATTGGTCGGGTATACATAAAGACTGGTGGAGGCAAAGATTATTCAAACAGTATACAGACTGGTTACATGTATTTCCAGCCCATTCTGGCAAACATCTGCAAGAAAACGTTGTGCCATTTGCTGTACATTTACCTCCGTTTCTGCATGTGTTGTACCCACAGGCTGTCCCGTCACAGTCACCTACATTTGAACCACCTTTTGCTCCAGATTCAGTTAATTGTAATTCTTGATTATTTATGATAACTTCCCGGATACAGCCTTGAAAACCTATGGGTTCATTTTCTATTGCCATGGGATTTATACGATTTAAGAAAGATACCCCTCCAATATAGAAGTCTGTATTTGTGTCCAGGGAACTCATTTTAGTGGAGGCTTTTTCTGTTACATTTATCCCATCTAGATCCAGGTAGCCTTCTGCACCAACTCTTCCTGCTTTTATTATGTGCCAAATACTTCCATTTGTTGTTACTTTTTGGAGAGTTTCTAGAATGATAGTTCTGTCACCAAGGTTGTATCGAAGTTGAACAGAACCATTCACTAAAGAGATACATAAAAAATCACCTGCAAGAAACCAAATAGTATGTTTAATTAGCAACAGTAAAAGTTTTCCATTGAAAACTTTTGCTCTTTCTGGTCAAGTTGGGTAAGTTTTGGTTATGGGGAAAAAAGTAACATCTTGAGCACAATTGTGTTAGTTTTAGTTCCACTCACAGAGCAAAATGCGTGTGTTCTGTGTTCTTTCATTTTGTTTAGCAATTGGCTACATAAATTTTCCCTAGATGTGGAAAGTTCTCATTGAATGAATGTATTGTGGTTGTAAATTAAAGTGAGGTTTTTCTTCAAATGAAAGCCTGATCTTTATGCCGCTGTTTAATGGCATTCACTATTGTCAGGCTAGGTACTTAAACTCTTTAACATACCTATAAATTCTCTGAACATTCCTGGCTCCTTTCCTCTCCAACCTTACCAGGAATGTTCTCTTTCCCCATCCTTACACTTTCTTTACTTGAACAACACTGACCTTGTTAAGGATTTCATCTGCCTGTTTTCTAGGAACACTCCACCACCCCATTCCACCTCAACTAGGTAACTCCTACCCATTCTTCGGGTTTCAGATAAAATGTCACTTCCTCAGAGAAGTTTTCCTTGATTTCCCATAGTTGGTCAGGTATTTTTTCTGTCAGTGCTTTAAATCACTAGGTTTCCCTCCATTACAATATATCTCATTTTAGAATTATATAGTCGTGTGAAGAAATTGGAACAAATACCATCCAGCATCTGAAGTTGCAGTGAGGCATTCAGAAGAAAAGTAAAGGCAACTCCACTTGCTCAGAAAAAGTGTGTTGCTCTTCAATGTAAGATTGCTTCAAGAAGATAGCAAAATGACTTATTTATTAATACATAATGAACCATGCAGATGTCTTCCACGAAACATTTTCCTCTCCCTCTGAAATTTCCCAACCTTTCTCTTTCCTCATCCAGGGACATTTGGCACTGTGCTACACTAGTTCTTCCTCCTTCTGAAGTGCCATATTTCCTCACCTCCCTTCTGCAAATGGTGTTCTTTCCTATTCTCCATTGTGGTCTATACCAAGCCGTTCTAGAGTGGTTGGAATACTTGGCAGCTCTGTAGTTCTTCACCTATCAAACTATGGTTCTCTTGCTTTATTTTCCTCACAGGGAATTTTTAGTGAGTATAATATGTCAATTACATATGTGATTATTTGGTTAATAGCTGCTTTATCCGCTAGGTTTAAGCTTTATGAGAACAGGGTCTGTTTCTGGTTTGGTTCAGTAGTTTATTCCCAGCACCCAGAATGCTATCTGGCACATAAATAGATGCTAAACAAATAATTATTGAATAAAGAAATACTTGTATAGGGCTGTGGGTTGAGATGACTCAATATTTCCCAACTAATAGTTTTAGCTTGAAAGCAAAAACTTTTCCTATAATGGCATGAAAATTGTTTTAAAAATTCATAACAAAAAAAGTTTATTTGCATACTAATTTCTAACATGTACATCATTTTTAACTATAAGGAAAGAAAAGGAGTGTCATGAACTTTCAGATTAGCAAAGAAAAGATATACATTGAGTTATACCACAAAAAAACTAGAATAAGTAAACATTATTGATACTAAGTTAAAAAAAATTTACAGCAACCTAAATACACTTTGTGGCCTGGAAGTGAACACAAGCCAGTTACCTTTCACAGGATTATGGAGCAAGCTTTTCTTGCTCCTTGTGTTATAGAGTGTTCCTGTAGTAAACAATTTTATAGTGAAGAGCTACCTTGGAATAAAAAATACCTAAGAAATGATTAGGAAAGCTGAAGCTGTGATCTATACTATGACTGGTCATGTTGCCAACCAGAAGAAAAAACAAGGAAAGCTTCTGTGAAGAAAGGTTATTTTAACTCGGCTAGTATGTTCATGTGCAAAATTGACAAAAGTTTTCTCTCTGGCTATGGAAACTAAAAGCTGTATTAACTTAAAAAAATCATAGGCTTTTAATTTTAGTGCATTAGGATATGATGCTGTAGTTATGGCTCGTAAGTACAGATTGGCATTATTATTTTGAGATGGAGTCTTGCTTTGTTGCTCAGGCTGGAATGCAGTGGTGCAATCTTGGGCTCACTACAACCTCCACATCCCGGGTTCAAGTGATTCTCCTGCCTCAGCCTCCTGAGTAGCTTGGACTACAGGTGCTGGCCATTACGCCCTGCTAATTTTTGTATTTTTGGTAGAGACAGGGTTTTGCTATGTTGACCAGGCTGGTCTTGTCCTTCTGACCTCAGGTAATCTGCCTGCCTCGGCTTCCCAAAGTGCTGGGATTACAGGCACCCGACCTCAGATTGGCATTAGAGTAAGAAAATGTAATGAAGAGTTGTTACAAGAAAGAGAGATCAAATAGCATGAAGATCATAAATGAATTCACTTTGGCTATTTAATGCCCACTCAACCATGGCTGAGGCTCTTCCCACCTTTGTTCTGCTATTGTTTCTACCTCATCACCTGCTATCCCACTGTGTTTTATTATAGTTTAGAGAAAACTTATAGGACCTAATATTTGTGAAGAGACTACAGAATCAGCATATCAGGGAAATTGTATATACATTCTTTTCTGTAGACAATGAAAGCAAAGTAATTTAAATCTTACAGTTGTTTGAGTATGTTTTAACTTCACATTGCAATGACTAGGACTTTTTGTACACATTAGTCTGGGAGAATTATAACTATATCAAGATGAATTCAGGCTTTAATTTGTGCTTAATTTATATATATCAAAAATCTTTTAAAGGTGTTACGTTTTTAGCAGAAATAAATGAAAAGAGGCCAGGGTCTTATTTCTTTAAAACATCTTTCAAAAGTCAGAGATCTGAAATCATCTCGTATACTTTTCAAGTTATTTTAGTTATTTTGTTTTAAATTTTACACTACTTGAGAGTACTCAAATTATTAATCTCTAAAGAGATAAACCACATTAATTTAGAATTTCATTTTGAAAATGTGAAAACTGTATTGGCTGCTTATGTTTAAATTTTTGGATTTTAACATTGTGTATTAAGTGGTTAGTTTTTACTAATGGGTCCTCTTAGCAGAGGATCAACTAGGAAGACTTGGTTAATGTTTACATCAGACACAGCTCTTAGAGGAAGTACAAAGTACAGGACTGTCAGCTGTGTTTTCTGCAGCCTTAAATGAGACAGACTTCAAATAAACTTGTTATATTACTTATTACTAAAAACATAAGTTTATGCCTTTCATCTGATAATTGTTTTTGATTAATCTAGGTTTAAGCATGTAAACATTTTTAATATTTTAAAATTTTCATGATCTTATATAAGTGTCAAATGCATCAATCGTGAAACTAATGAATCTCTGTAAATAGTGTCTGATGGCATAAAGGAAACTCTTGATTGTTATGAAGTACATGCACTGAATAACAGATGTAAGAGGATGTGCTCTTGCCCTCCCATGTGTATTAATGTGTATGACCTTTATATTTCATATACATAAACACAAATATGTATCTATTGTACCGATTATAAAACTATAGTACAATATTTCTGGCCAGTCACAATCCCGAATATACCTTGATTTTCTGCTCTTTTACATAGGTCTTGCTTACATTAATTTTGAGTTTTACGAGCAATGTAACTGAAGCTGATTGTCTTTTAATGTCTCGATTTATAAATAGAAAATTTCTCTTTGTGTGTGGTTCTCCTATTTGACATTTTCACAGGGAGATTTAATCATGAATTTAAAACCAAATATCATAGGAGAACAGATTTCTTCTAAGCTGTATTTTATAGCTCAATTATGCTTTTTTCTTTGAAATTATTTTGAAGATATTTCAGAAGTGCATTGAGATGAAATCCCTTTGGTCCAATTCCCTGATATTCTTATCATTTAGAAGCAAATCAAGACACTTCTATAAGAACTACTTAGATTCTGAAAATTAGAGCACCATTTTTGTTAATGATATAAAATAAGCAAATGTAATTATTTCTCAATACCAAAATTGTTTCTCATTTTCTGAGAAACTGAAAGTCAAGTGTAAGATTTTAAAAATACTTTACAATAGAGATGTAACTGTATGTCCAAATGTCTTTGTCAGAATTTTGGAGAAATGTATGAAAATGGAAATCAAAGGTAAAGTAGTAAAACCTAAAAAATTAATTTTTAAAACACTAATTGGATACTTTATTTCATATTTTATGGTAAATATGTATCTTTTTAAGTTCCAAATGTTTTTATAAGCATTTCAGAACACAAATCCTGGCTTTACTATTTGGACGACAGAATGACTTAGAATTTTTCCAAGCTATAAATGTGGGTGAATCTACATGAAATATATCAGATAGCCATGCCTTCCTTTTAAAAAATCTTCTACATGCATATTTTGTCTACTCTGTCATAGGACTATCATGCATGGCTTTATTTTTTTTATGGGATTGTTTTAAAGTTCAGCATATACTTTATTTAGATTTTGCTAACTTTAATTCTAACAAATCTCTTGCTATTTTATTCGCTATATATTTAGGGCCTCTAAATTCATAAGCATACACTTGCAGTGTTAACAGAACATAAAACGATCAAATGGTTACATATTTAAAGACTAGGTAACACAAAATAAACACTATCATACATTACTTAATAGACTATTAGGAATTCATTAGGTTTTTTTTTCCTCTTTCATTCTGCAAACAAACAGCCTGCCAATCTTACCTGACTGGGCTTTTAAGTGTTGTGCAGCGTAAAATAGGATACCATCTGCAGCAAGAGGCTGAAACTGCAATTGAATATGTGTCTTTTTTCGAACACGAAAGGAAGCAAAAGACATCCAGGATAATTCATTGCTTCTGAAAGATGGATCACTTATGGATAAAGCTGGGGGGAGGAGAGAAAGAGAACTCTGAGTTATCTGCTGGATTGAAAACATTGCTCATAAATACAGTAAATTGCTTACATAATTTTGTAATTTAAGGATTTATCTTCCAAGAGTTGCTTGTAGGTGAGTACATCGAACTTTCGGAACTTTATGAGTCTGTTCTAATTCCACTAACTTTAGTCTTTTGTAATGGAGCCAGTTATTGAAAAGCCTCTTATTTCTGGTAACTGTGACTTTTTGGCTGATACGTATGTGACACAAGTCTGCTCTAGATTGCATTGTATAGAGAGATAAGAAGCATAGCTGAGATTCTTGGAAATGTTTTACATTTATAATGCTTTCAGAAAAGTAGTTCAAATGGCGGAAGATGGAGGACAACACTATGTGAATTATTCTTCAGCCTCTATATTTCTGATTCAGATGTAGAGTATAATCAAGTCAGGATACATTTTAAGGCATAATATATTGATACTAATTTTTGCTTCTGTGTACAATGGACCCAATGGGAATTATGAGAGGAAGAAGGAAAGTTCTGTACATTTGGCCAGTTTTTATCCCTATGGAATCTATATTTCTTCTTATAATGTAACAGTGCTTCTTAGAGTGTGCTCTGGTTCAGAACATAGCTTAGTCATTAATCTAGTTATTTAGTTTTCTTCCCACTCTTTGGGAGCTGTCACCTTTTACTTTAGACTGAACAATTGGTAGGTGTTTATCCAGAAGGTGTTGGCATTTGCTGATTTTTAAAAAACGTCATTCATTCATTTTGACTTATTCAGAAGGGTAGAGGTTAGAATAACTTGATGGTGTTGCTAAGAATGCAAAGTCCTATACATTCCTGGAGGGCTGGATTTATTAAAGCCAGGAGCAGAGGCTCGCTCCTGTAATCCCAGCACTTTGGGAGGCTGAGGCTGGAGGATCGCTTGAGCTCAGGAATTTGAGACCAGCCTGGGCAACATGGTGAACCCCATCTCTACAAAATATAAAAATATTAGCTGGACATGGTGGTGAATGCCTGTGGTCCCAGCTACTGGGGAGGCTGAGGTGAAAGGATCAATTGAGCTTGGGAGGTGGAGGTTGGGGTGAGCTTAGATGATGCCACTGCACTCCAGTCTGGGTGACAGAGTGAGACCTTGTCTTAAAAAAAAGCGGGGATGGGATTCAGAAAGTACCCCATTTTTAATAAACCCTCCTCCTCCTGGTGTTTCTGACATAGGGGTTCCTTGGACCACATTTTCATAAAATCTGGTCAAATTTTTAAGAATACAAGGGTGATTTAAAATGTATCTTTTTGAAACTATTTTGTAAATATTGCTAAATTAATACATGTTTATTATAAGACGAACACTATAAAACAGTGTAAAACTTTCTTTAGTGGAATTTCATTGTTCTTTCTCCTCTCTTAATTCTGAGAATTACTGCCAAGTTTATTGTACATGTAGCCAGACTAAAAAAAAATACACATACAATTAATGTATGCGTATATCTAATACTTGATTTATTTTAAATAAACCACATTTTATATGAACTATGCATAAATAATTGATTTTTTTCCATCTATCTTTTTGAAGCTGATACTAGCATACTTTGCCTATTGTTTTTTAAATACATGTTTGGTATTTTAAAAAATACACTTTATTTTTTCAGAGCCATTTTAGGTTCACAGCAAACCGAGTGGAAAGTGTTAGAGTTCCTATATAACCCTGCCTCAGCACATGCACAGCCTCCTCCACTGTCAGTGTCGCCCACCAGAATATATTTGTTAAATGGATGAATCTGTATTGACACATCATTATCACATAAGTTCATTTACATAGGATTCACTCCTATGTAATTTTAGGGATTTTGACAAATGCATTGTGAAATGTATTTACCATTACAGCATCATCCATAAAATCATACATCATTTTATTGCCTTAAAACTCCTCTTTGCTTGCCTATTTGACCCTCCTTCCACCCTGGCAACCACTGATCTTTTTTTACTCACTTCATAGTTTTGCCTTTTTCAGAATATCATAGAGTTATAATCATATAGTATGCACATTCGTTTTCAGCTCCTTTGGACAAATACCAAGGAACACAATTGCTTGATCATAATGGTAAGAGTATTTTTAGTTTTGTAAGAAACTGCCCAATCCCAACTGTCTTCCAAAATTGTTGTTCAATTTTGCATTACCAGTCATGAATGAGAGTTCCTGTTGTTCCACATCCTTGCTGACTTTGGGTGATAAGTGTTTGGGTTTTAGCTATTCTAAAAAGTATCTAGTGTTATACAGTTTTTATAATTTGTAATTTCCTAATGATATATGATGTTGAGCATCTTCATATACTCACTTGCCATCTGGTTATCTTTGGTGAGGTTTATGTTTAGATCTTTTGCCCATTTTTAAAATTGAGTTTTTAATTTTTGTGTTGAATTTTAAGAATTCTTTGTTTACTTTGGATAACAGTTCTCTATTAGATATGTATTTTGTAAATATTTTCTGCCAGTCTGTGGCTTGTATTCTCTCTCTTTCAAGTGTCTTTGGCAGATTAGTTTAAAAAAAATTTTTAATGAAATCTAATTTATCAATTTTTTCTTTCATTGATTCTGCCTTTGTTATGGTATCTAGAAACTCATCATCAAAACTCAAAGTCATCTAGATTTTCTCTTATATTTTCTTTTAGGAGTTTTATAGTTTTTTAATTTTACTTTTAAGCCATGAATTCATTTTGAGTTAAATTTTGTGAAGGATGTCATGTCTGTGTCTAAATTTTTTTTTTTTTAATTTTTGCTTGTGGATATCCATTTCTTCTAGCATCATTTATCAAAAAGATTATCCATTCCCCATTTTATTCTTCCTCTTTTGTCAAAGATCAGTTGACTGTATTTTGTCTATTGCTTTTTAATCTTTAATCTTCCTCAGATACTAGTTCTGCAAAACTAGAAAATGGATATAAGATGATTTCCTTAGCAGTTCCCTCATTGAAGGGTAACTAGGCTATTTCAGTTGTGTTCCATTTCTCCTGATTTCCCACCCTATCTCTCTGGCTTCGTGTGCCCATGCCTTATAAACTTTATAATTCCTTACGGCTTTCCATGGCCCATCTCTCTTCTTTCTATTAGTGACCTCTCCTCTATTTCCATGACTTTAAGAAATACCTATACATATGATAACTCCTTGAAACTTTACATCTGTCTAAACCTCTTCTCTTAGCTTTAGTTTTATGTAGTCATCTCTCTTATTGATTATTTGTTTTGGCTATCTCAGTTATATCGAACTTAACATGTTTGAAGTTGTACTGCTGAAAGATATTCTTCTCTCAGCCTTCCTCAGATCAGTAAATGGTCCCACCACCCATTCAAGGCCCCATATGGAAACTTGGTAATCAATTTGATTGCATTCTTTCCAAAATTTCCTCTACTTTTCCCAATATAATGCATTAGTAGATTATATCTGAATGATATATTTCATATTTGCCCCATCTTTCCATTACCACTGCCACCATCCCAGTTGAGGCCACTATCAACTCTTGATTAGACCATTGCAATATACTCCTCATTGATCTTTTACTTTTTTTTTAATAGATATATATTTTTTTAATTTATTGCATTTTAGGTTTTGGGTTACATGTGAAGAACATGCAAAATTGTTGCATAGGTACACACGTGGCAGTGTGATTTGCTGCCTTCCTCCTCATCACCTACATCTGGCATCTCTCCCCTTTCTCTCTCTCCCCAACTCCCCACCACCCACCTTCCCTCCCCTGTTTCCCCCCAACAGACCCCAGTGTGTAGTGCTTCCCTCCCTGTGTCCATGTGTTCTCATTGTTCAACACCCGCCTATGAGTGGGAACATGTGGTGGTTGATCTTCTGCTCTTCTGTCAGTTTACTGAGAATGATGGTTTCCAGGTTCATCCATGTCCCTACAAAGGACACAAACTCATCATTTTTGATGGCTGCATAATATTCCATGGTGCATATGTGCCACATTTTCCTTGTCCAGTCTATCACCGATGGGCATTTGGGTTGGTTCCAGGTCTTTGCTATTGTAAGCAGTGCTGCAATGAACATTCGTGTGCATGTGTCCTTATAGTAGAATGATTTATAATCCTTTGGATATATACCCAGTAACAGGATTGCTGGGTCAAATGGAATTTCTGTTTCTAGGTACTTGAAGAATCGCCACACTGTCTTCCACAATGGTTGAACTAATTCGTTCACATCCATTTTATATATCTGCCAGAGAAACCTTTTTAAAACATCAATTCATTGCCCTCATTAAACCCTTCAGGGATTTTACTTAGAATAAAATGTGGATTCTTTATCATGGCCTCTGAAGCTTTGCATGATTTGACCTCCTGTTAAATTCCCAACTTTATCCCTTCCTCATGCCCTTCATGCATCATTGCGCATGTGGTGCACTGCATAACCCCAAGGGGAAGTCATCACATTGTAATCTATGTGAATAGTGTTCCCTGAAGATGTTCAATGAATAACCTATATGGAAATATGATGCTACTGTCTGTACACTTTCCTCCTGTTCTTTAAACTTCAGATGCACTGGCTTTTACTACTGGATTTGTCATAGTTTGATCATCTTAGATTACCTAACCACTGCCATATTGACAGACACTTGAGTTGCTTAAAATTGTTTTGTTATTACTAATACTGATACAAAAAACATACTTGATTTTATCTCCTTGCAAACGTGAGAATGTTTCTCATGTGCAAACATGAGAAATGGAATTGCAGCGTGATGGTCTGTGTTCATTTTTAGAGTTAATAGATGCCACCAAACTACCCTCCAAAGTGTCCGCATTAATTTATACTCCAACCAGCAGAGGATGACAGAATATCCTTATCTATGTCCTCAATCACACTTGAGATTATTAAAATTTTAAGTTTCAGCAATCATAGATTTTCATTTTATTTTAATTTGCATTTTGCAGATTACAAGTGAAGCTGAGTTTCTTGTGTGAATATTGGCCTTTTGTGTTTTTCTGTGACTTTTTTGT